TGTTTGAATATAGACAGATGAGCGCATCGACCGCCAGGTGGATGAATACAGGCAAGATTGGATGACTGAGAATATAGTACGCAGAAAGGTCTCCCCTTGCAAGAATAAAGATACTTTTCGTAGAAAATAATGGTGAAGTCCTTTTTTAAATTTCTCACTTAGTTCAGTTATTCAGGCAGCAGAGTTGGTAGGCCATCAGGGAGCAACCAGGCAAATGGGCAAAAGCAAAGCAAGCAAGCAAAGTGCTGCTGCACCAGTCTGTCTGGCCCCGAGGTTTGTCAAACTCACAGGAGCGGAATGGGTATTACGCCTGCAATATTCAAATAGGGTACAACTTGTTCCTTTTTACGCACTATAGGTGTAAACACTAAAAAATAGACATTGTTCTAACTTGATTGAAAGTCACAAGAATGGGGATTCAAACTGAGGTTACTTGAATAAAAAATAAACTTTTCTTAAAAGAAAAGCACGGAGACGAAAGTCACTCAACTGAAGCCTTCGAGACTGATCAATAAGTCTCCTATGGGACTCATAATACATGGCTGGTGCTGCAGAAGCGGACTCCGTCCACTGGGCCAGAACACATCACATTTGTTCCACTGCTCTGCACGCAGAGAGCCTGCAGAAGTTGTTGACGGCAACCACCTCCGAGGAGGGGAGAGAGGTGTTCTTCATGATGCGAGGTGAGAGGACACCATGTTCTGGAAAATCCTGCCCAGAGGAGCAAACACATGCAATTATTGCATCTAATGATGTAAAAGTGGAGGTAAGCAGTTAATGCTTGCGAGGCCTGCAGAACCCACACGGTTTGGAAAGCTTAGACGAATAAAAAGAACCTCGTGCATGTAAGGCTGGGGTCTAACGTCACCATTGTAAGTGTTATGTAAGAGGTGACGTACATTAGAATGTCAAACATTAGCACGAAGTTGAAATAAAAAGGAAAATGTTCAGACTTTTTTGTACTGAGAATGTCATGCAGTAGTCACATAAGCCATGCACTGCAACATCTCCAATTTAGAGACATTATAAAAGAAAGCAGACTCTGTCGGAATGGTGCAAGCCGTACTGGGAGTATTTCAGTCTCCCACCACAGATTATACCTATCCTTTACTTCTAATAAGCCAAACTACATTGAAAGTTGTTTTTTACAAGAAGAAGAAGGTCAGGTTACCATTAGTCTAATCATCTGGAACCTATGATTATCTAAAAATACCAGCAATTTCTGTCACTTCAAAGTTCCTACGTCTCAGTTCAGCAATTCCACACAAACTCCTAATGTATCTGGAGCTTAAGAAGATCCTTAGTTTGACCTGCTTTTTGATTGTTTGAACTTTTTACTCTTTGCGGTCTCCAGCAGCTGTTCTCTCCCACATACTTGGTACTTCTCATTGTTCATTGTTCTCCTTGACGTGCAAGTTTCCAGGGTGCTGTCAACCCCTCTGTTCAGATAGAGGATCAGAAGGCACACCTTTTTCTTTTTCGGACATACTCCGTCCGAAAAGAAAAAGTGGTCACAATTTTGTTCTAAATCACAAAAGGAACTGAGCTCCTGACAGTGGCGCTGCCTCGGAGAATTATGATCTGGTAAATTACAGAGTCCACAAAGACAACAATTACTCTCTGCTTTTTGTTTTCTCTCTTATCTGCAATCACTTCCTCCTCAGAGCAACAACTCTGCCTTTTAATATTGCAACCCGACTGTCATCAGAGGACAGGTCAGGAGACAGATGTGTGACGTGTCATGTAGAAAAAAGAAACATTTGCCATAAAATGCACAAAAATTATTATGATATGTGATAGACCATGTATTAGTACATGATTATACAGTGGAAGAAAATGAAATACATGACTTCTGAAAAATGTTGCATACAGCTGTTCTCAACCCCTTTTACTCTAATGCCCCTAAGTAAAATCCAGTTTAGCTAACTGCATTCACAAGTTGCCTGCTTAATAAATGGAGTCCACCTGTGTTCAATCTGAGATGTTTGTCGGAGAACTCTTAGTGAACAAACAGAATCCTGAAGACCAAGGAGCACAGCACACAGCTAAAGGAGAAAGGTTGTGCAGAAGTGCTACTCCCAATCTAACAACCTCCATCAGAGAAGCAGCACATACAGTATGTCCATGCATGGTCACTGCAGAAGCGTCAGGGATCCTCAGCTAAGGTAGAATATATTGACAGGAAAACTGTAATACTGCAAATGCTCATCACAAATCTATCAGAGGGGCAGAAACAAAGTCATTGTTGAAAGAGCGCCATGAGAAGTCCTGGTTTTGATTAGCCACAAACCACTCAGGAGGCACAGCAAGCATGCAAAAGAAGTTGTTTGAACCAGATACAAGCCAGATTTAAGCCAGATGAATCTGGCTTGTATATCATCATTTTCTCAGTTGCTGATAAACATGGTGGTGGCAGTGTCATGCTGTGGCTATGCTTTTCTTCATCAGGGAAACATGCAGCTGCTAAGACTTTATAGAAAACTTGCTAAAGCTAAAATAAAAAGTGAAACTGACAGAAACCAAAGCAAAAGACATCAAACCGGCAGCATTAAACATACTGCCAGTGCCAGTATGTTTAATTGTTTAAACAAAACATGTTCCTGTGGCAGAATGATCCAATAAAAACCAAAACCGAAACCAATTGAGGATGTTTGGCAAAATCTGAAAAGTTGAAATATACCCTGACATGCAGCTTTAGCTTATAGTGAAAGTTCTATGAATAACAACTTAGTACTGCTGAATACAAATTCAATTCTCAGAATTGTATCTGTTATTATTTTTGAAAACCAGAAATCACCTTTTCTTCCATTTCACAATTATGCACTAATTTGTGTTGGTCCATAGCATAAAATCACAATAAAATACATTCAAATCAGAGGCTATGAAAACATGGGAAACAAGGTGTGAATACTCGAACTCCTAATCCAGTAATTGGTCCAATATAGATTCAAGTAAACCAAATCTGTAAGTAATATGAAAATCCTCCCCTTGGTTAATCTGACCAGACAGTTTCTGGACAGAATCCCTTTATAACACAACAGTGATTAGAAACTGACTCTTTATCATTTTGTTGGCTTCTCCAGCTCTAATATGCTGAGAAGGTGACAGTTCATTTGGCTGGAGCCTCTCATCAAGCAATTAACTTGAAGCCTCTGACAATTAGATGAGACAAAAATGTCACTGAACAAATACAATTAGAGCAAGTGGCACTTATTAAAGCAATCAGTTCAACAGACAGAAAATAAAGCTAATTTGAAAATAAAGCTATTGAAACTTAACTTAAGTCTGACATGGGATGTGCCACAAACAGACAAAACATTAATTAAACTGTGACAACATTTTGAGGTGAAAAACAGTAAGCGATCGTGCTCATTGCCTCTTCTGTGGGCCTTTCTATAGATTCGCTGTGATAATGACCCAGTTCTCTTGCACTAAAACCAGGAGAGGAGCTGCAAGGGTCGCTCGAAGACAGACAGCCGTTGTTGAAACTCATCATTTTATGGAGCGATCATCCATGCCCTTACAGGGCTGAGTGGTCCTGCTGTCGGTTCTCATCCCATGGCTTGAATCCTTTGACCTCTGCACTCAAACTCAATGTTTAGACATATTTAACATAAAAAACAAGGTGGGTCTGGCGTTACTATGAGTTTTTTTCATGCATGAACGGAAGCTCAAGTTTAAAGGACAGGTTTTTGTGTCGCTCTGTTGCAGTAGAAGACCATGCGCGTAAAGTGTCGTTCTTTAAATTTTTGACTTAGAACACAATTTAATGAAATATATTTAAATGTAATCAATAATAAATGTCATTAAAATCTTTCAAACCACTTTCTGCACTGGTGGGTTTTCTGGGACTCATACAGCTGCATGGAAACAAATCTGTTTTGACAGTACAAAAAGAAAATATGTATTAAAGTTATTGCTAATAAGTCAAACATTAAAATGCATTTTAAATTGTAGGTACAGTATAGAGAAATGCATTGCATTGCAGCAAGTTTAATCCAAGATAATAAATTGAAGCTTTTGTTCATTACGGTTGTAAAGAGTATTGAATCAAACCAAGTTTAGGCTTACATCACCCCCTACTGGTGACGAGAGTTTATTACAGTGACAACTGAGCTGCATTTGTGGAAAGCAAACATTTCAAAATTTACCGAGTCAGTTTTAACTTTAAGCAGTTTTTATCTCTTGACTTTTACACATTTTGCCAGAACGTTGTCACAGACTGCAATAGATGTCATGGAGATTTAACAGAAATTGTTTATTTTCAAGGAAGAAAAATAAATGATTTACAAAAGTTTCTAGAAATGATGCTGCCACCACTCCGTGTCATTTAGGTAATTTTGTTTTCAGGGTAATGCACTTATTAATGTTGTGACAATGTTTAGTGTAGAGCTGAAAGGGCACAGCTTTGGACTCATCTGATGAGAGCACCTTCCATTCATTGTGTCCCCTAAAGAGCATGAGTGAACTTTTAATAAATTTTCCCTCAACAATTACTTTGTTTTTGCCATAAAGGTAAATTTTTCACACCTGAACTGTGGATCTGTACACCCAATCTCCAGGACTTTGTCAGGCAAAGGCCCAGAGGCTAAATTCTTCCAGACTTTTCCCCTCAGAGAGCAGAAGGTATTGCAGGAAATCTTTATGCACATAGAAACCATACATTTACCTTTTCAGGACATAGGTTAGATCCATGATTAGCCAAGAAAAAAATTAAATAAAAAATAAATAAATAATTTTAGTGTATGATCGGTTCGAAACTGAAATCGTCATGAGTTCTTTTTCTCATGAAATTAAGGCACTTTGGAAAAGATTATTTGGACCGATTGATAAAACGGATATGTGCAACTTCACTGTTCTACACTAGATAGAAAGTCAAACTTAAACTTTAAAGTTGTTAAATGTTGCAACCTAAAATGTGGCAAAATTTAACAAATGGCAGGACTTCTGCAAGGCACTTCAAGTAATGTAAAATTTGAATATATGAAATCAGAAACAGCTTTCAAGTACAATCATTGTTTATTTTTACATAAATACATATAAAATACAATATAAACAAGTTTCTTTACAGTATTGTTCATTGGTATAAACTGATTTGAAAAACAAAAAAAAAAAGACTCATCTGTAAACCTTTTGGGATGGTTTGTGCTTCATTAAAAGGTGGAACTCCTTCCACACAAAGCTCAATCCTGTGTCCTCAGTCACCATAGTGTTACATTCATGATCACAGTTAAGATCAGTAGATATAAAACTGACAGTCAAAGGTACCAACTATGGAAAACCTCATTAGCACACCGCTCAAAAGTAAGAATGCTCGGCCTAAAAATTCATTGTTATTGTGCAGTATGCCTTGATAAAGACTGCGGCTGTGGTTTGATAGGTCGGTTCTGGATCCTATAAGAACCACGGCAGTCCAATAGGTTTACACTGGGGATTCACAACGTTGCTTCATAGGAGAACGGAGACAGGAATGAAAACCGATGCCACTCCAATCAGACTTGGCTTTTCACTGCATGTCTGTACCATCGGCAGCTGCTGTGGAGAAGTGACCATACGTGCATTACCAAAAGTAAACAGTGTGTTAGCATGCTGACATTGTTGTCAGAGCAAGTGAAATAAACAAACTTTAACATCTCAGTGCACCACTTACGAAGAAAGATAATTGAATTCTGAGAAGAAAAGATGGGAATGAAATTTCAACAAACTCCAGTTAGTCTATACAACTGAGGGTCATCCAATTTCACCTTCAGCAGCTCTATGGTTAGTTTGAGACTAACAGAAAAAAAACATGTATTTAAGTCTCTGTAGCAAAATATCACGTTCAATATAAACTGAGGTCAAGTAAAAGCTTTTAGCCTTTCAATATTGTAGGTAAAGGTCAGGTTTGGCTATAATTTAAAGATTGTCTATAACAACAGATATAGAAAACAGCCAACATAAATAGTCCAAAAACAAGAACAAAAATTGGGTGGCATCCCACTTCACCACTGTGGTTGGATTGTGTGAAGGATGTCAACCCCAAAAATCACCAGAAGAATGAATCACTGGTATTTGTCATGATCTACATTTCCATTCATGACTCCGTTGGTGTGGTGAGCCCAGGTCTGAGCCTGCAGCACTTTAGGCAGCCTCTTGCCCTTTGTGTAGGCGTGGTACCAGAAGTTGAGGAAAAGGAACAGGAAAATCAGGCCGTACAGGCCGATGATGTAGATGAAGATGGGGAACTGGTAAGGGCAGTCTTTCATGAAGAAGTACTGGGAGATGTGGGTGGTAACCATGACAAACTGGATCTGAGGAAAAGCAAAGAAAATAAAGTTGGCATCAGGAAACTGGTTAAAGAGAATTGAACTGAATACTTTAACAAAAGTTCAGCGTACACACCAGCTGAATGGTAGTGAGGTACTTCTTCCACCAGAGGTACTTCTGGTAGTTGGGGCCCATGGCAGTCAGCCCGTAGTATGTATACATGATGACATGGACAACACAGTTCAGAAGGGCGTGGAAAGTTCCCAATCCACCTGAAACAAGGAGTGTGTCTGGATTAACATCACAAATACTCTTACTGTGAAATCACAGGGGAACAAGTTTTACCTGGAGCAAAACGAACACCAAACCACCAGGTGAAGGGCATGATGGAGTGATGATAGACATGAAGAAATGTCACCTGGCTGTTCTTTTTCCTGAGCACAAAGAAGATCTGCAGAACGGGATTCGGTTTAATAACAGCGTAAAGCAACATGAATCTTGCTCTGCAGTGAACAGTTGTCTCGTTTACCGTGTCAAGCATCTCGATGAACTTTGAGAAGTAGTAAAGCCAGCATGTTGCTGCCATCTGGAGAAAAAAGTCCAGATTTAAACACTCATTGCATTTATACGGACTTAAATTGATGAGGCGCTTAGAATTTTTTTTTTTTTTTAAAAAGGTGTTAAAACTAGCCTGTGTAAAAAAAAAAAGGCTTACCCTCATAGCCTGCGGCGATTCAGTGTAGTCAACAAGGTCGCAGTGAAATGAATATCCTGTTCCCCAACCTGACATCACAAACTAGAGGAAAGAGAAACAGCAATAGATGAGCTAAGAAATATGTAAAACTCATTTAAAAAAAAACAAAAAAAGAAGTTCCTAGAAAAACAATGTGACAAAAAAAATTACCCAAGACAAAAACTGATAGGTTGCAGAGCAGCACTTTCAAGACAGACAAAAGCACTACCTTATCTGGTTAACAGTTAAAACCAACTCCCCAACAGTCCATCAATGACTCAGAAATCTGAGATGAGGAAATACTCATGTTTACTCATCTTTCAGACCAGTACTACAAACTCTGACTTGACATCCAAGACTCAAGAGCAATTTAGTAGCAGTCAAGTTCCCGGGTCACGCCACGTGAAGAGAAACACAAGCCCAAACACACCTCATAGCACATGTAGAGTGACAAAGCCACCACACTGAAGTTGTAGACAATAAGGACTCCTTTCAGGTCAAAGCCTTTCCGGTTCTCCATCAATCGAGGGCCCAGTGACGTGACGAAGTAGATGTAAGCTGCGATGATGATGGTTTGGGGAAGAGGAGACGACATGAGCAGCCATTGCTCTGTCCGTGAATCTGCAACAGAACAGAGAGATCAGCAACTAGCAGACTGAAGATTAGATTATGGAGAAAAGGGAAACATTTATCAGAAAGTTTCACCTGCATTTTGGATGAACTCATCATAAATGCGTGCAACAGACGTCTTAAGATTAAAAAACTCCATTTCAGGCAAGACCCCAGCAGTTCAACCTAAGGGGTGGAAAGGCAAAAGGTTACAGTGTCAGTTTGTTTCCCTCAAGTTCACTGACATTTAGAGAAAGGGTACAGCATATGCTAGTGAAATGTTTCTTCCACCCATCTAAAAAAAGAAAGCATTTTCATTTCACAGCATTAGAAGATGTAAGGACATCTCTGCAAGTGAGGAAAAAAAGACAGCTACACTGACAGAAATGCAAAGCTATGCTGAACATAGCTTTATATGTATATGTCTGACTTCTTATAGTCAGACATATACATATAAAGTTTTCGGTATATATCTGACTTTTTGTAGTCAGACATATATCGAAAACTTTCTTCCGTTTAATGCATCGAAGACGTTTCAGGAAGTATTTTAGGAATCTGGTAAGACCTGAATTCTGTTTAGTACCCCATTAGTCACACATAAAGGAATGGAAAAATACAAGCAATTAATCCGTAGGAAGGGGATGTCCTTCTTCTTTCCAATTAGGAAACAATTCATTTACAGAGAAAAATTTATTTGTAGTACTTCTTTATAAGTCAAGTGAATTATAGCCTTAAGTAAATATCCACTAGTTTGTGTGGATTTTTATATCCATGAATACAATTCTGTCAAGTAGGACAGTCGCAGTAAGAAAAATAGTTTTCATGAGTGTCAGCAGCCAGGCATAAAGAGCAGGGTCAGTGAGGCAAACTGTACTTCAAGTTTATCCTGTCAGATTTATACATTATTGCAATAATAAATTACAGATATTGTGCCAACACTGAACTTGTGCCAAGACAGGTCAGTGCCACAGCAGTGGGGTTAAAAGGAACTCAATAGCAACTTATTTACTCTGGTCTAATGAAGTGTGTATGTGTGTGTTTGTCAGCGGTTGGGGAAACTGTAAATCACTGAAAAAAAAAAAACATCCCATATGCAACACCCTTCTGGACAGGTTTCTCAAGGTGTGCCTCCCAGATTGAGTCTCATCCTTAACGAACCCAATGACATGTCGCGACACGCCAATTCACGTTTCCCCCCCTCCTTTTCTTTTCATGGATGATGGTGATGATGATGATGATGCAAAATGCTCCTGCTGCCATGGCGCGCCTAATAACTAAGATGTGTACAAAGTTCACCAGGACAAGAAAACATTTCAACTTAGTGGAGAAAGTCTGCAAAACAGAGTGAAACGGTGTCCAACCGAGATATGAACGGCACAACATGGAAACATGTGATGAGCATCCAAACAATGAATTCACTCGTCGCTCCTCACGTTTCTACGGTACTGCAGCGACACGCGTCCATTTAAAGAAAAAAACGGTACGGTATTCCTATGACGTCGCGACTCAGGAACACACACTTTTTAATTTTCATAAATAGAGAGAAAAAAAAAAAAAAGTTAATCAAAAGTACACACCTTTAGTGTCGCTCGTGTTGAACCGACGCTGAATCCCGTCGCGTTATCTTCCCACCTGTTGCCTCCTGGCGAATGTGCTGCTCTGCGTCACAGTCCGGCTGCACGGGCCTTTTGATCTGGCGGAAAGGGGCGGGGCTACCTGTTAAGCGACGCCCCTTATTTTCGTCGATTGGCCAATTTGTAGTCCAACAGGGTTTGGACTACAACCCCTTGAAGTTCAGGGTCTCAAGAATGTTTCTGAGACATCATTCCTGAATGATGTCTCATAGAAAACTATGTACGATTTAGTGAAAGAACAATACGTCTTCAAAACACGTCAATTCTGGCTTGAGAAAACGTGAGAAAAGGAAGGAAAGAGAGAGTGAGAGGGCGAGTGGAGTGCTTAGTGCAGGTATTTTCCACTCCCTTCTTTTTGTCACAGCAAGATGACAAGATGAGCCTGTAGACTAAAAAGTCACAATATCTGATCAGAGCAAATATTCCTATCAGCAGTTTGCGTTAGATGTTTACACAGTCACTTAAGACAAAGTGTAGGACTGAAAGGCATGTTGCCCAAATGAGAGGTTTCAGTGTCCCTCCTTGCTCCGAGTTTCTAGAGGGGTTAACGAAAGTCTTATAAACAGATGTACATTTCTCTTAGAAGAATAAAGGAAGAATATGTGCTTTTAATGAATGGTGAGTCTTTTCAAAAATCACCCGCAAAAAAGTCATGATCTGAAAAGACCTCCGGAGTATTGAACACACTATTTTGCCCTTTGGTGTGACATCATCAGATGGTTCATGGTTTCTTCCCATGAACTATTGACCTGTCCAGATAGTCTCAGTGCATCCTCTTCCCCATTCACTGGAGATAATCACCCAACAAAATACATACATACCTGTCCCACTTGGGAAAAAATAAATACAAGAAAGATGAATTTACTTTACCCAGCATGTGCGCCTTTAACTTTTTCACATTTTATCATGTTTATTAGGGATTTTATGTGAGATCAATAAAAATTAGAGCTTAATTGTGAAGAGGAAGGCAAATGATACATGGTTTTCAACATTTACTGATAAAATAAGTGGATGTTTCTGTGTCTAATTGCTGCCAAAATTGCACAGCTTTTTAGTAAAAATGGCAAAAGTAACCATTATTGAAAGAAGTCTTGTTTGCAGTTTGTTCCAAGCCATGTCGGAAATACTCCAAATATGTAAACGAAAAAAAAAAAAGTTCTCTGGTGATTTGATACTAAACTTAAACATTCTTCTCTATATTCAAAACTGCTTTGTGTTGGTGTATCACCAAAAATGATCAAAAAATACATTTAGATTGGTAGTTTAACATGATAAAATGGGAAAAAGTTTAAGGCTTTTGAATGCTGTTACAAAGCACCACTGGTTTTCAATATACATATAGATGCAACACCGAAAACAAAATCAAATTACTTTTGAAAACAACATTTTATTGATGTAAAAAAAAAGTTTAAAAATATGGGACTATAAAATGGGCTCTACTTGTAAAAGGTCGCTTTGGTGCCACTTTCAAATAGCACAGCAACATAACATTGATTATAGTTCTACACAAACAAATATTTACATATTTCTACAAGTTTTGAAGGCTGTCGTCTCTGCTGTCAAAGATCTGTCAGCAGCAGTTTACACAAACCCAAAAAAGAAAATTCCTTACACTAGCTTTTAATTAAGTGCAAGATTATTTGGCATGCCTCAGCTATCCACACATTCCGATCCTTCTTATTAATCTTCATCACTGCTCCAATTGTCTTGAAAGGCAGGGTTCACAGCAGAGAGGCTGGCAGCAACCTGCGAGGAATTAACATATCTACATAAGCTTCACATGTGAAGACGACGCATTTCTCTGCATTCTATATATGTAACTTACATTAACACATCAGATATTAGTGATATATTACAACTAACAAGTGTCACTGTGTTCCAGATAATGCTGACTTGACATAATTCAAATTCCCAGGATAACATCTGTGGTTTCATTCCTGTTACTGGAATAACAAAACCACTCCAGCACGTTTCTGAACTTCATAGGAGGCTCTATTTTCTGCCTTTATCACCACTCTTCACACAATAATGGTTAATAATGGTTGAAAATAATGGATATAATAAAAATCTTTGAAATATCAAACTGGAAATGCCATTTAAAAGATAAATTAGGACAACTGTAGAATTAAATCCAGAGTACTGAGACTCATAGGCTTTTCTTAAATACTTTTTTTTTTTTTTTAATTAAAATATTGGAAATAGGCAAACATCACAGTGTTGAATCTGTTGATGTTTTGAGTTGAAATGTAGTTACTGCTTAGGCACTGAATAAATGGCAAACAAATGCCAACCGTATAGTATCAAAGTTACACAATCTGATTCAGGCAAGTTGCGTCCTAAATACACGTGAAATGTTAAGGGGTTTGTTTTTTAATCACGCATACTGGAAGCTGATTTGGAAAGACCTGTTCAAGGACAAATATGAAGAGGGAGAGCATTGTAAAGAAGGAAAAACCTGTTTGAGTATTCTCATCTGAGCTTTGACAGCAGACCTACAGCCTATCCCATAAAAGGGTGGAGATTTTCCATTGAGCTCAAATCTCTCTTCTTGTAAATAGTGAAAACAAACGCAGTCATTAACGTCTGCTCTAACTTAGACATTTCCTTAATTTTCCAAATTCTTTCGTCTGGTGGTATTTTCACTTTTTAACTGCCTGTACCTTATTTTCACCATTGGGCTCTTCTTCCACGTCTGCGGTACGGACAACGGGTACCCACGCCAGCAGGTTTCCGTCTTTACCTCCACTGTACAGCTCCTGCACACAAACAGCATCTCTCTGTGTCACCTTAAAGGGCCCACCACAACTTCCCAATGGCACCACTCTTGAATTCAGTGTTTGGGGCCAAGTGTACAGTAATTAAAGGACCTACAAACATTCATTCAAGCAAGACGTCTCCTCAGAGACCTTGCGTTAGCTTTGGGAATGATTGAGTTCGATGTGATTGAACAGGAAGCAAAAAAAAAAAAGTATGTTTTCAGGAGTAAATGTCTTTTCCTGGAACTCTGGGATGACAAGCTGCCAAACAACATTCTTATTATTCGTCACACGCTGAAAATGTGTTTGTGTCACCGGATGCACAAACTACCAAATAAGGCTGGCATGACGCTCTGCGCCCCTCCTTGAAGACAATTAATAAGTCTGTCTGTATTATGTAAACAGAAAAGTAAAGTCAGATAACTATCATCTGACTTTATTGTTAAAATATATTTAGCTCCAAACAGAAAATTTCAAAAAAATTCATTGGAGATATTTCTACAATTAAAAGACTTTAAATGTGGAGCACAAAAAACAGATGGAAATAAAAGAAAGGAGAAGAAAGAAAAATAAAAAAGGACAAGATAGAAATGTCGAAAGGAATTGACAGAGTGAGGAAGGGAAAAATAAAGTAAACAATTTCGGGGCTATTTAACAGAAAATAAAGCTTGTGAAAGCACATAAGCATTTATTTTGAACCACAACAGCCTGAAATAATGCATCCATCACAAACCAGTACTTTCTGTACCAGAAGGGTCAAAATATCAAGTTCCAGTTTAAAATAAAAATGAATCATTTCAAATGGACAGATGTGAATCTGAGCTTTTTGTTTCTATTTCATTTGGTGTTTCGCAGCTGAGCTAAAAGCTGAAAATAATTGATAAGGTATATTTTTGGCTATAAGTCCATAACTGCGTCCATTTATTTTTAAGTGGCACAATGGGAATTTTAAAATAACACAATCAAGAAAACGATGATGAAGTATCAGTCACTTCGATGCTCCATTTATTCTGCTGTACAATCCTGAAGAGTCAGCCAGTTCAAGCAGATGTCAGTTGCAGATCTAAAAATAAAACAGTCCTCACTGTCCTGACTTATTAAAAATGAAGCACTAAACTTAATGTGTGTAGAAATGGTCAAACTGTGGGAATTATGAATAAATGGGAACAAACGACAAGCAGCCTGGGAGTAACTGCTTCTTCAGCTCCACAGGGACACCTGCATTTGAATTTATGGATGCAAATGTTGACACGGCAATCTTATCTGTCAATGGGAGTGGCAGTCACATTGAGAGCTGAGTTGATGGGTTTATGAAATAAGAAGACAGACAACCTGACATAAATTTTCCAAGCATATAGAAGAGAAACCTAGGACCGATGAGGAACAAAACAGTGCTGCTGATACGAGGCCACAAGTCGCCTGGTGTTTTGAAGAGTCTCACCTGGTAGTCTGGGTGAAACTCGCAGCAGTCCACGTTGTTGTAGTGACCCCGCAGCATAGTGATCAGTTCTCCTGTGTGCAGCGCGTACACTGCCACCGAGCTGCCGCATGGCACAAACACAAACTCTGGGCTGCAGCCGTGAGACACGGAGAACTGCAGGCGTTTACGGCTCTCATTGCAAACCTTCCCATAATTCACCTGAGAGAAACAAGAAAAGAAACTGGATGTGTGGGATGCTTGAAATATTATACACTGATTATGAAAGGAAATAATTCTCATTGCTAAATGGTTAAAAATGTCATCAAGCATAAACTAGAAAAATATATACAAATGGGCATATTATATAATCGCCTTTTCTCAGATTCTTACTGTAGCTCTGATTCACTCCTTTGACATATGGCTAAGGTGGTTCAAGGTGTCCTATTACATAATTGTTACAGAAGTTTGACATATGAACCCAATTATGTTTTTTTTTACTCTAAGTAAAGACTATGCCTCAGTTTCATAAGCTTATTAACTGTGGTGTCTATATAATACATACTTTTATTTTACATTTTAGCATTTAATAGTCAGGTTCTCAGAAAAAGAAAAGGTATGCAGTATGTTTGATATATATTTACTTGCCATTTGTACATGTTTCGAGATGTTCAGCCAGTGAAACAGTTTTTTTTCTGCAGCTGTTTCTTTCATAATGTGAATCAAGATTGGCTATGAGGACAAAATCAGGTTGCATGAACCTTACCAGTGTGTTTTCCCCTGTGGCGCTATTCCATAGCCTCATACGGTCATCTGTGCCGGTGGTTAGGAGGTAAAGGCCATCAGAAGTAAAACACAGACCATTCACTCTGCCATTATGGGCTGTGTTTTCTGATCAGAAACATGCAAAATATTTAGATCTTAACATTTTCTACAGGACATTTACAACAAAGTTAGTGTTATTTCAAAAGGTATTAGTATACATAAACATGTTTCCATAGAGAACTAATGAAATCAAATTTTGTTGGGAGACTCAATAGACGAGTCACAGCTGAGACATGTATATATAGAAAAAATGTATATCTGCAAGGTGAAATTAAAATTTGAAAACAGAAAGTCAGCTTGAAAATAAAATCTATAAACCTAATTTCAATTTAGTTTTGAAGATTAAACACATTAAATATTAATATGCAAACAATAGAGATTAAAAAATATACAAAAACACCACACACAATACATGGTGCTCCTTTAGCATTTATTTATTTTTAATTATTAACTTTCAAAGAGTTAAAGATTTTCAGATTTTTTTGGCAGTCTTTAGGTAAATTTTTTGTCTCACTAAAAGCATTTCCAACAAGTTTTCAACATATTTATGGATCATGTTCAAGCTGTTCTAATCTGAATACCTAAAAAAAAAACATAAAAAATGCTATCAAAAACATCAGTTGAAAGTTGAATTTCAGCTGATGTGAAATTCAGAAATAAAGACTTTGATGCTAAAATGATGCTATTTAGATGCTATTTAGTTTTATGCTATTTAGTTTTATTTTTTACAAAATGTATCTTTAAAAAAATGACAAAGAAAAAAATTATCTTTCTACATATTACAATTTATTTCTCTTCCATATTTATCCAGAATTACAAAAATACTAATAAATTAAATCTAAATTATGTAGAAATTCTGCTTAACAGAAATTAACACAAGGAACCAGCAAGTTAATGGACTTCAAACACAGAAAGGAGTCAAGGCCTTTAGGTATTTTTATGGGTTCAGTCATGTGTGCATCCACAGACCTTTCAAAATTACAACTATCCAGCCATTTTCCCATTATTTGTGCTATATTTTTATAACATTTATGGTCAAAAATCACAGGACAGTGAAAATTGGTACGATAATTCATGAAGGTGTCTAATCTCATGATAATTTACTATAAAGGTCTGAATAGTTGGGAAACAAACCTGCTTGTGATGACACTTTCGACTTCTCTCCGTTGTGCTGATCCAAAGTGAAAAGACTACCTGAAGCCCGCCGCACATCCCAAATGTTCACTTTGCTGTCTGCACTTAGAGGAAGGAATAAAAGACATTATTTGCACATTTACGTTTTCCTTGTTAATACATGACAGAAGTCAGTGTGTTTTAATTTCAGCTGCAAGAAAGAGAAGAAGTTCAATATTGTTCATTTACAAAAGTGTTTGTAACCCAATTCTTGTTTTTAAAGGTCAATTTTCAGTTGGGAATTAGCATGATGGCTCATTATAACAACCGTACATTACTCTAGGCTCCTCGCTGTGCCAGTAGTTTTCAAAATCACTTACAATCCAAAGGCAGAGTGGTGCACCGATCCCAGTGGGTTAATCAGCAGGTCTAATGTGGCATGAAAATAGGTGGAGACTGTATCCACCATATGCTAAACTGACAGCGCCACTAAACCACCGCATTGCCTGTCTGGTAGGGATATGTTACCATTATCCTTGACTCTAAATGTGGCCAGATGGCTGGGATGTCATATGCCACAATCAGCTGGGCCACAACATAGAGGAGATTGCGACAATTTAAATTAGCATTGTCTTTATGCGACATTCAGACTGCAAACTAGGTTCAGTTAAAAAAAAATATATATATACAAAAGCAGAGATTACCTGGCAGTTGCTAAGATGTTCTCGTATCTTGGTGACCACCGCACGGCCAGTACTTCTGCTCTGTGACCTGGTTATGCAAATATTATACTGGTTAACACATAGACGCAACCACACATACTGTGCAAATAGACAGCTTATGAAGCTTTAGAAAATTTTCATTAGAGACGCCTCGATCGTTTCTTCAGAGATTTGAAATGATGGTGAATTTCCTCCATGTCAACTTATCTTGACCAAGTTTCATACTGATTTTAAACTTTATTTATCAAATACATCAAAACAAACTCCAACCATTTTGAGTTTCTAAATCAATAACCAATCAATGGTATACTTTGATAAATGGTTTCTGGGTTCACTGTAAATCAGATAACAGATAAGACACATAACCTTTGGTGCATTAATGGGTATAAATTTTATTTATTATTTCAAAACTGCTTCCTGTATCAAAGAATTTGCAGTGCATATATTTTTTATCTTTTATGCGTGAACAGGTTTTTGGAAAAGAAGACTCGGAATCAGTCAAAACTGGAAAAAAACTATTTTAAAAAAGGGAAATTTGAACTGGTCAGGAAAAATCTAATAGATGCAGCCCTTTTTTGTGAATGCATTTAGATAAACCTTTAGCCGCGTGCCTGGTTAAAGCTCTGCTGATGACGACAGCCTCAGTTTCTCTAGTGGTTCCTCCCTTTGGAGTTTGAGCAAGACTGGTTCTTCTGCCTTTCTGAAACGTAAATTTGTGTCTAATACAACTTCTTCAAGGTCCAATAAAAATGAAAGCACTTTCTTTATTCTCCTGAATTTAGTCTAAGTCACTCTATGTAAAAGAATGTCAACTCTGAGAAGAACAATCATCACTCAACCTTAAGAATGCATATTATTCAGGACTATCAACTATTTGCAAGCTTTCTTGGATTTCTACTGCAAGAGTTCACAAAATATAACATTTGACCAATTCTGACTGTTAAATCAGTTTTAATACAGTTCTGCTTATTGACACAAAGCAAAGTCACAAAAATGTTTTATTTCAAGGCTATTCACAGAACATACAAATTAAAACCATAACCAGATGTCTACAGTCCAGTCCAGTCCACATTCAGTTCCAATCACTCCAAATATTTAGTCTGATTTCGGTCCAACTACATTTAGTCTCATTTGATCCCAAATATAATGGTGAAGTCAAAGTCATTTGATGATTTAATGCCAATAGGTAAAAGTAAAAGTTATCTATTTAAGGAAGCCCAGATGATAACATCAGTTTTAACAAAACAATTATATCCTATGTTATAGCTATGACTTTGTTTTTTGCACAGAAAGATGAACCTTATTTAAAACATTTTTAAATTGTCAAAAGTTATTGCACCAAAGAATACAAACCCTGAAGAACGTGGATCCGTGAGCCAGACTTCAGGTCACAAAGTTGAATTTTAGGGTTTTTGGTACCAACTGGAAGCACAGACACACACAGGTTTGTCTTAAATTACAACAGTGATAAAAGAGAAACAGGTGATAAGCACAACCCTCAAAGTATTTGATACCAATCAAAGTTTATTTGCATAGTTTCAAAATAACATTTCCTCCGATTAGCATCCAGCAATTACCCTCATGCAAATTATGTCAGAATATTTTTCACAACATTAAAATTCTAGAATCTTTCAGATAAGATTGGGTTAAAACAACTGATGATAAGCGACAGACTCACATGCCCTCTTCCTTTGAAGTCATGAAAAACGGAAAAAGATATACATCATTCACAAAACCAACTATTGCTTCAGATGGTGGTTAAAATATGACTTGATACAAAACATTAAATATGTGAGATCAAATTTATTTTCAGGACGTTTCCCTTAAAAGCCTTTGCTTCCATGGAAACAAAGTCGCATTGTGGGGGATGCATGAAACCTGTTTGACAGGCCTGTTTGAGAAAGAACACCGTTGGTCTTAAAGCAGGAGGCAGGCTGAAGGAGCTGGTTTCTGTATGAGACAAGGAACTTATCGGTGTGTTTGTGAGAGCACAGACTCAGCAGGCCCGACGAACCTGCTGGTCCTGCTTCGTTACCCGTGAACACCAAGATTCCGACAATGCTTCTTTGCTGAAGTGTGTTCATATGTAATCAGTTTCTGATCCTATTCTGTCCCCTCAAGGTTGATGTCACTTTACAACCTGAGGTGCGTTGTGGAGCACCATGCAGCACAAAAACTGGAGAGACAGATAAACTAATGGGATTCCTGCCCTTGGCTTTGTGTTTGAACACAATGCAAAAAGTGCAAGAAAATTCTGAGGATGTTTTGTGTTAATAGGATGAGCAACAAGTCACAGTGAGAGAAAACACACCTGCGATGAGACTGTGCTTCCTGGCAATAGGCGACAGGTGGTGATTGTAGACATTCCCCTCAAACTCAAACACTTCAGCTGGCTAAAAAAAACAACAAAGGAGCTATTTATAATCGGACCTGTGTATATTTAGAGAAGTATGTCGAGTGGAAATATAATGATTAATTGAACAACAGAAGCCTTATGGTTTAGTGTGGATAAATGTCAGCAGAAAAAGATTTAAAAAAATAAAACATCATTGAAAAAAATGATTATAAGAGGGAAAAGAGAGACGGCACAACAGCTCAGCGCTCACTCAGGCAGCCACTGGTGGTTACAATGCAAATTCTTCTGCAAACATAAAAAGCTTCTCTGTGCTCCATCTGTCAGTGAGTGCCAGCACAAGCATGGGCTGTGCCAGTGGGAGGAGAAGAGGGGGGGGGGTTGCACAAACACTCAGTCACACACATACAGAGGAGGATCTGTTTGCATACAAATGTCACACACAAAAATAAAAGAAGACAAAGAGAACAACAATGCAAAACACACAACACATTTGAAAAAAGAGAGAGCGTGCATTTGTGTGGCACTCACACACAAATAGAGTAAACTACTTAAAAGGTTAATGGGTTCTTTTCTGTCCCTTCTGCGACCTTTAGAGGCAACCCTGGTGCCAGCGTAATTCTAGCACAGCACTGGGCCTGCCATATGGGACGGAGAACGGTGGGATGCGTGAAGCAGAAAAGAAGAAAGACAGATTGAGAGGTCGAGGAAAGAGCCAAAAGGGGGACGCAATTTGCTTAAGTTATTAACTTCAGAGGTAGAGATGCATGTGAATATAAAAAGCTCATAAACCCTATAAGAAAAACATTTGTGACATAGCAAAAGAAATCCACTCAGAAAATGTGTGTGATCTATAACCCAGACAACTGAGTCTGGGGAGCTTTTTTATATATCCAAAAAAGCTCCGATCCAGCTAAGTAGTAAGTGACAGAATCGGGATTGGCTTGAGCTCTTCTGTGGACTGTTACATTTACATTTGATGCATTGGAAGCTTTGTGCAGACCATAGCAAATGCTATGAGTGTTGTAGTAAATAAGGTTTGTAAACATCATGGCTTACCTTTAAAGTCTCTGTGTCCCACACTTTCATGGTCTTGTCAAAGGAACTAGAGACAAACATTCCTGTGTCATAAGGATACCACTGAACCGTCTCCACACTGAATTTGTGGACATGTCGACTTGACCTGGGAAAACAAAAATCATAGTCAAACCCTCCTGACATAAATACACTAAATAGTGTTTTTTGTTTATGTTTTAGTATTGGCAGGAAATGAAAATTAATTACTGTGTTGTGTTACATCCTTGCAAAACTTTCGTGAGCAACTTGAAAACAGAACAATAATAAATTGCTGCCCTCTAGCGGATGGAATAAATATGCTGACATTTACCTTCCAATAGTCCGGACGGGTCGGCAGGTGTACTGTTGTTTCCCACTGTGGTTCTCCAGGTCATAGATGACAATAACTCCATCTGCCCCTCCAGATAACATACTAACAAATGATAAAATTTTAATTCTCAAAACAAATTACTTTGTCTAAATATGTATGATTTTTACATGACTCCCATTCTTCTACATAATTTACTGCTTTTAAATTGACATTTAAAAATAGAATACTGGAAGCATGATGCCCTATTGAGATATTTTCACTTCTTCCAATAATTTTTTTTCAATTATGTTAGTGGATAGCTCTGCTTAACTACAAATCCAAGTAGTAGTAATATGTGCAGGTCTAACAGTATAATGACAAAACAAAACCTTGAACTACAATCTCATTAAATGTGTACAGTATAACTGTAGTAAAATGATGACTAAGTAAACTTACTATCTGCCTTCAATTGCATCAATGTCAATGGTATTAATCCCATTTCCATGGATCCGGTCCACATCTCTGTCGGGATTTAGCTTCAGACTGAGGACTCTGACAGATACAGAAAGAGAGAAATCGCATGAAACCTGATTTTAAGGTGACAGATTTTGAAAACAACCTGCTACAGAAACAGTAGTGTACAGGGCACAACGCTACAAAGTTATCAGCTTAAAGGCAAAGCTATAAATATTTGCCACAAGACGTGCAATTCTGGTCCATGCCTGCGTCTTAGTATTCTTTACACATGTACTAATAGTACCCATTATAGTTGTAAAGCAAGATAATTATAATAATCTAATCATCTGCTAGATATCTGATTCACATCTAGGCCTGTCGCGATAAACGATAAATCAATTAATCGCACGATAAATAAAAACTATCAACGTCATTTAATTTATCGGCTATATCGTCTCTGTCTGTATTTTTCTCTTTCTCTTGATGAAGCTGGATGAGAAGGCTTAACTCCAATGCTATCCACTGACCCCTCCCTTCCTAATTTTTTAAGAAGAAAAAAAATGAGGAAGGGACGAGGAGTGGACTATTGCATCAGGTAGTCAGCGCGCATCACTTTATATTTCTGTAGATTTAGAGCCCTGTGAGGAGTTAGCAAGGTAAAGAAACACTATCTCATATGGGGGGTTGGAAAGCTCTTATTTAAAATAGCTCTTATTTAAAATAGTTGAAAAGCCGGCATTTTGAAAAATGTTGCAAACACATGGCAATTCCACAACTGTACAGCAGTATTAAAGAGGACATACTGAAGAATATAAAAGACATTTCATTTTACTCTGCTACGTCGGATATGTGTTCAAGTTCAAATATGACTCCTTATATGAGCTTGGCCATTCATTATATAGCTGCTTACTGGACCAGTGTTTAGAAACCAGATATGTCCCAGATGACACCCTGGGAGAAAACCTGAAATCTGCTTTAGCAGACAGAGGATTGTAACAGACAACTTTATTTCAATCTAATGATATACAGACTTCATAATTTATATTCTTTTGGTTGAATTAAGTTTTTATTTCTACTGCGGTTTTATATTGTGTTTAGTTTTCATTCAAGTGCATTTTTGTTAACAGAAACTGAGAGTCCATTTTAATTTTATTTATGGTTGTTTTATTTTGTTAACCAAGGGAACCAGTGTGAAGTGCTCTTTTGAAAATAAAGTGCATTTATATTTGGCAGGAAATCGCCTGCATCATTATGTCATTTTTATTAAAACAGTGTGAAAAGGTCTTCAAACAATATTATCATTTATCGCAATAATTTTTGAGACAATTAATAGTTCAGCAAAATTTGTTATCGTGACAGGCCTATTGACATCATCACTTTCCACAACGACCTTTTGAAGATCTCATTTAATTTTCCTTCAAGATGAAGAAAGTATTTTTGAACTGAATTCAACTTTGAACATTACAGTCTAACTCTTTAGACAAGGGGTTCCCTCACCTGACTGTTTCTGACCTACAAAATGAAAAAGATGTATCAGGGTCATGACCCCCGAGGACAAAAGAGAAAAAAATAATTCAATGAAATAACAAAAAAGAATTTAAATATACCATTTAGGTACTCTTCCTTTGAAATATTAGTAAATAAAAATGTATTCAGCATGATGATTAACAAGATGTTTAAATACCTACTAAATATCACGGCAGATACTTGAATTAGAAAATCTAATTTATATTAATCTTGAGTCATCAGAACTTTCCCGTACAACAGTGTCGCAAACCACTTGCCTTTTACCAGCTATAAACAAATCTACCAGAGAATACATTAGCATATGTAATATCCATCGGATATTTTCACTCACCTTCTCGTTGACTCAGCGCGTTTAAGTCGCAAAGGGTCATCCACACCGGCCTGTCTTGCTGACAAGAATCCCAACATTGTATCAACTTGAAGAAATTTGGTTGTAGAAAGAAAAGCTCAAATTTATTTCCACCAGTTCTATCTAAAATAGCTTAAAGGCTAGCATGTCACCGAAGCTACGGTGAGTTTACAATCCATGCGGAGTATATGCGAATTATATAAAGCATTTTACAGCAAAACGATTTGCGTTAAACCATTTTATGCATTTAAACAAACGTCTAAGTACTGTACTATTATTGCATTTTAATTGTTATTTTGAACGAATCCTAACTAGCATCTCATCGGTTCCAAACAATGAGCCGCCATATTGCTTAGTGACGCAGAAAAAACAATAACGGCTGTGATTGGATGGAGCAATGTGGCTGACCAATCTCGAAACGGGATGCTCGCCGTAAAGTGAAGCGGTAGCAGAAAATAGAAAACTCACCAGATAAACCATTGCTCTCCAGAATTCTCGGGGTGTCCTCCAAAAAATGAACAAGATTGCTGGCCTCCTGCGGCGAACCTTTGGAATAGTACGTGAACACGTCGGGACAGATCACTTGGGGAATAAATATTACTCTATTCCCGAACAGAAGACTTGGACAGGTATCAACACTTTTGTTCAAATTAGCTTTTTCTGTTTTCAAATAGAACACTTACACATGCAGTCACATGAAGTCAAGTTCGGAAACCGTTCGGTGAATTTTTTAATACGCCCTGACGACACTGAATCAGACAATGTAGGGCTTGCTCTGTTACCTAAAACAGAGCAGCAAGAATGTAGTTTCTGCTCCATTTTTATTATACAACTTTCAATTACTTCTTACGAAGTTAGAAACGACAATTGTAGATATCTTAAGTTCTCCATTCGCATTAATGTGACATTGTTTTCTTGTTTACTATAAATTACGACATTACCCTTGCCCTGAATCGTTCTGTCCTGACCCTTTTACAGTTGTAGTACTCGATTATGGCCGCTAGATGGTGGAACAGTCTAAATAGCAACCAAGCGGCAGCTCTGCTTCTGATTATTATTTATAACGAGGCCCTGCTGAAACGTGGTGTCACTCACTCCAATCAGAACTGTTTTAATTGAAATATAACAGAGCTTCCAAACTCTATTGCGAGAAGTAGGGTGAATCTTTCTAAACTGAAATTGAGTTGAGGCTCTAATTGTCTCATAGGGTGGAGACACTGATCATGACAACCACAACACAGTGGTTGAATGTTTGTTGGCATTAATAGAGTTCTTTGTTTGACATATGTTGCAGCTTAGACTGTTATATTATTTTCAAAAACGAGACGATGCCAATTAAATGTAATTGCAAATCCACTGTGGCTGCAAAACTATTCACTCCTCTTGAAAACAAATTTTATTGAAATATCATGTGACTAACCAGCACAAAGTTGTGCTAAATTCGTGAAATGGAAGGACAATGTTATGTGGTCATCAAAACAAACCATAAAGGAAGAATGTTAAAAGTAGTATACAATTGCAATCCACTTCATTTTGCTTTAGATAAAATCCAGCACCACCATTGGCCTTAAGGAAGTCACTCAATTAGCGTATCATTATAGATGCAGCTGCATAAATACAGCTGTTCTATCAAGGTTTTGCAAGGCACTGTACATACACTTGAAATCAAGTGAAAGAGCAGGGCTTTTGTATCTTTCCCCATTTCTAGCCAGTTCAGAAGAAAATATTTTTGCCATAATTAATGACAGAGTGGAGTTTGCTCTGTTGTCAGTTTATGACATTATTGCATTCCCAGCAGAAGAATTGAAGCGTCCTCTGTTTTGCTGTGGAAGGATCCACCTCTTCCAGGTTAAGCTTCTGCTGTGTTTTTTTTTTTCTGCCTTGAACGTGACTTAATTTTAATTTATTTATTTTTTCGGTTCACCTTTTCTCAGCAGTTTTTGCGGGGGAATCTTTCACCCGCATCGTATTTATAATTCATTACAAGGCAGCTCCTCCACCCCTGCCTGTCAACCTATTCAAATGAGACATCACAAAAGCTGCTCTCTAGCATGCTTACAAGGTAATGTATGCACTGTCCCATTGCTAAGACTCACAACTGCTGATGGGCTAGCTGGTCTATGTAAAATTTTTAAAAAAAAACTGTTGAGATAAACACAAGCCTAAGCAGCAGGCGGGCACAAATAAATGCTTGTATTTGCATTTATAATAAACATAGAAAGCAAGTGTTGCATCCTTTTGTCTCCATTCAACCTTGTGGAACTAAATCATATGCATTATTCAGTCCATATGTCTTGCAGAAGCTAGCTTTTGATCTCAAACTGATAGGCCAAGCATGGGCTCAGGGCCTGGAGGCACAGACCGCAGGGCTTTTCACTCAAGCGCATAAGTTTTGCTCGAAATAGGTGAGGAGTTTCTCTCTCTTTTGTCTCCCTGCCCTGTCTACCCATTTGTCCATCTCTCTACATTTATCCATGCTTAGCTGCTTCCATTTTCTACCTCTCTCCATCCGTTAACTTTTGAAAACTGGGGCGTAAGCAGTTCTATGAGCCAGAGGTAGACTGGGTGTTAGGGCTATAATGGCTGTCATGATAGAAAAATGTTTTTCTTTCTGTTTTATGTCCATTTGTCTGATTTGATTTCAACAACTTCTATTTGGGTCGTGCTTTTTTTTTTTTTTTTGCCCTTCCCCTTGTACTTCTGCCTCTACATTTTTTTCCCTCCTTTGAAGTAAGTCCAATGAAGATTTTATTCAAAACACTAGCATAGCGAGATAGACCCAGCAGAGAGCCTTCTAAATCCCTATCCTCAGATGTTGCTCCTCATCAAAATGAAAGGCATGGGTATAACAGGGACTTATAGAGGGAGAGTGAACGAAAGTGAATCTCAACTTCTGGTCCAACAGCTTTAAAGAGCTCACAGAAAGAGATGCTCTGCAGGCTGCGGGGTGCTGTGAGTCTCGCCTAGAAGAGAGCTGCTGACAATGTGGCCACTGGTCTTAGAAGGTTTTTGCCTCGTCGCTGTTTTCACTGTGCTGAGCTGAGAATCTATATTCTCCCCTGTCTTTTTTACGTGCGCGTCCCCCAGGCCCGGCTCTGCCTCACTCTGCAAGGGGGCACCGTGTGAAAGCCTGAGCGCTCTCTGGACTGGATGGGCTCATTCGTCTTCAGCAGCCAGACCCGGAGCCCCGACGCCCGCCTTCCCTTTTTTTTTTTTAGGGAAGTGAGAAGCACGCTGACATTATCGGCTGCTGCAGGCACATTTGAAAATAATTGCCTGTATGATTGCTATTTTTTCTTACCTCTTTGAGGAGGTGTAGCCTTTGTCTTGGAATCAATGGCTGCTCAATACCGGACAGGGGAAAGGCAGTTTCCTTTCATGTCTCAGTGAAAGGGATGTATTTTTAGCGCTGTTCGTTTTAGCTGTGTGTGTATTTGAGTGTGCCATGCAGTTTTAATCTATTGGCCCTCTTTTGCTGTGTGGAGAATGGAAGAGATTCAGAGGTTCTTCAGAGGTGTGCCACGCAGGCTGGAGAGAAAAGAAGCATTGACTTGTCGTCCTATCGCCATCTCCACTCTCTCTCTCTTTGTCTATTATTTATTAGTATCCCCAGCTTGGTTCTATGAAGTGAAAAAGTACTCAGTTCTGCTATTTTCAGGACGGGGCCACTCGTCTTGGGGGCAGAGGAAGGAGGTGTGTTCTTTTGCATTAGTGCATCTGTTAATGCACCATGACAGCTGCACACCTCAAATTTGTATTTTTAAAGAAAGTAGAGAGGAGGAAGGGGAGAAATATTAGTTGTGTGTTTTCTCTCCACTTCATGCCCTAACACACTTAACACAACAACAGATGGCTGCGTGTCATCAGAGCGTTGATTCAAGCCTCATATTTCCACCCAAAGACTCACAGCGGAAAGAGAAGAGGGTCCAAATGGCTGTTCATTCTGCCACAAGTCATCCCCTGGGTGTGATGAAGGAAGGTCTATCCCACCATAGGACACCGATTCAGTGTTTACAGGAGCGTCAGTGTCCAGAACCGCCACTGTAAATCATGCTAATTGATCAGCGGCGATGCAATGCGCGGGGGTATTAATGAAGGTTCTTTAATCATTATAGGGTCTAGCTCATCTAGCTCTGTGCGCCCTGCCAAGAGCGCATTTGCATGCGTGTCTTGTGGCTCATCATGGAGTGACTCCGCTTGTTCATTAAAAAGGCATTTGAAGAAATAGATGCTGAAAATGAGAGAGTGGCCGCATTTATTTTCAATGGCGGAGCAACCCAAGTGGGCTGTGATCCAGCAATGGGGGTTCAAGTGTTTTGGAGGTCCATTAACTGCTGCCTATCTGCAAAGCAGCTGGAGATGTACAGTGCCTTACAGGAGTTTCCATTCTCGTTGGAACTCTTCTACATTTTCTCACCCAACGAATCCGACAAATATCGATGGAACTTATTAAGATTCCATGTAATAGAATCAGCATAAAGTTGTGAAAAAGGGTGAGGTTAATGTAAAACTGCATGGCTTTCAAAAATTATTTTCCCCACAAAAAAAGTAAAAAAACATAAATAAATTAAGCCCTATTTACTCTTAGAAATTCTAAATAAAATCCAGTGCAACAACCTGCCTTCAGGCTTCCTCTGATTGATTACCTAAGGGCAATTTAGAGAGACCAGTGGACTGTGGGGGGAGGCCCGAGTACCTGGACATGAAAACTCTTTACAGAAAGACCGGGATTCGAATCCCGGCAATACAGCCCCGCTACCAACTGTGCCACTGTCCAGTTTTCCTACACCAACACTTAACCTTGAAGCAAAATGCTATTTATATATAAAAAAAAAACTCTACACCTTGACATCGCCATCTTGACTGTGAAACATGGCAGGTGTAGCAACATGGTGTGCGGGTGAATTTATTCAGCGGAATCAGGGAAATTAATCATGGTTGTTGAGAAAACAGATAAAGGTGAATACATAGCAGTTACAAAGAAAACCTTTAAAAGCAACAGCAAGTTTAATACTGATGAACGTAAAGCCAATTGAAAATTGATATTTACATATGCTCTCCAATTAGGCTGACTGAGCTTGAACTTAGCCTACTCTGATCTATGATATATACTGACATATAAAGTACTTTTGTCAGTATATCATAAAATACTGATAAGATACTCAGAAATGTGATTTATTAAGTTTTTTTCTTTGTTCCTTTTTTCTAGCCTAAGTTTACTGTATGGTTTACAAAGAAAAAGAACCAGAGCGTTAATGTAAAAATAATCATATTCAGCTAGCCTAGATGTGTTTTGACACCCGAGGACTCTTAGTCGGTCAGAAACTCAACCTGGAAGACTGACAGACAGGTAAGGTACAGCAGCAGACGGCTCCTGGAGCCTGCCACTGCTTATTCAAGTCAGAATATTTTAATAAAGCAGACAGGCAGAGAGAAATCAGGCAAAGTGGCAAAGGAAAGGAGAAAAGATAAGACCAGGGGAAACTATTGGAGGGTGGTAGAGAGAAGGTGGCGTACATGGAATGAGTGACAAAGAACAAAGAAGGTGCTGACATATTGGGGTGAAATTATAGAGTGGAGTGGAGGAAAGAATGGATGGAGTAAAAGTGAAAGGAGGGTTTCTGACAGG